GTGTTTCGCTCAAAAGCGCGTTTCCGTTGAAAACGCTTTGCGCCGGAGTAAATTTTGCTGACAAACGGTATCACCTGTTTAAGTTCTTAAACACCTCTAACTTTTATATTAAACGTACAAAATAGTTAATAAATCAACAGCGCATTGGTACTTATATATGTTGTATGCTTCTAGTGAGATAAAAATAGCAACCCTGGGTTTAATTCAGTTTTGGAAGCAAGGACCAACGTTACAAAATAGAACCACCGGATCCTAATAGAGGATCTAATCAGCTATAAATTAAAATAACTGAACAACGGAAGGAGCCAAGGCTGACTTCAAAGTTGCAATATTTTGCTTGGATTTCCAAATTTTTCTCGTTTGACTGCGGTAAAGGCTCGTCCACAGTGGTGCCCTCCCCTTCATTCATACGACGTCGCGAATCGGCCGCGGGAGATTGGCACGGGAACTCGACAATAGATCATTGGCAAAGGTCATTGTCTAATCGATTAGGTCATATATTGTCTAATCGTCTCTCCGCTTCGTTCTTCCCAGCTCTCCCGTGCGTATCTCCTGCGTGCGTATCTCCTAGCGAGACGACTGGGGACGGATCCCAGAGGAATCAGTACTAGTCCCTCTACTAGATTTCACATCCAGCCTTCCATCCCATCATTTCTCCTGTTAACAAAAGAGAATGAGCTGATTCGGCTCTTGCTGCTAATTATTTCACTGAGGCGGAGGGGAACACTAACGACAAGTCGTTACAGAATCAGGTTAAAATAGTAGCTGGTCATGTTTTGTTATTATGTGAATCATTACTGGAAACTGAAAGTCACATCGTCCTACTGACGAACAGTTACGGTGTTGAGATTTTCCTCTTTTTTAAACTTTCAGATATTTCGAGCAACAACAATTTGCCCTCTGTCCTCTCTAAATAACTAACCTTTCACTAAGTAGCCTCCTCTCTTGAAAACAAAGTTATTTGATGATTGCTTTGGCTAAGAAAAAAAGCTAACCTACACTATTTATAACAGAACTCTAATCAGAGGCGTGAAATTCTAATGGAAATAAGCTAACAAATTACACAAAGACGCTGTAGTGATCGAGAGGCCGGCTCCTTTCTTAAAAAAAACAGAATGACATTCCTGGAAAGACTTTAGAATTTGCCGACATTCTAAAGATCTCAAGTCCGTTTCATAACTGAACCGGGTTCATAATGCTGTAAGAGGACCAAGTCAGATAAATCCTTACTTCTAAATTCTGGTGGGCACCTACCCATTAAATGGTGTCAGTTAACGTTAAAAAAAAAAAAAAAGAACAGATCAGCCCTAGCAGGTATGACAGGGCAGGGCAGAGGACTGGAAAACGCCTGATTCAAAACGGAAGAATTCAATCTCGTACATCGCCCGAGTTGTTAAGTCTTATCAGTCACTAATGGAAGGTCTTTCAATATATGAAAATTCAGCAGGATAGCGAGTCTTAGAGGACACAAACATGTTTATTCATTTTCTTTGTTTGCGTCCTCTAAGACTCGCCATCATGCTGAATTGATTTAGTACTTTCCGCTAAAGCATCGGGGTGGTGAATGATCTTAGGCAAATAAAAAACAACTTAAAAGCAATAACGTAAGTATCGTATTGACGCAAAGCTGAGGTACCCAACAATGCAACGACGATTTTCTGTAAAATATCTGTTCGAAGAAGAGTGCCTACAGACTGTAGAATTTTCTATTATTTGAGGACAGCTAAAAATGTCTAGATGACGAACCATTCATGTACAATTTTTTGGAGCTTATGTAAAATACCCTACGATTTTCTGAATTAAGTTTAATTTCTCACATTTCCCTCCCTACGTTAGGCTGTTTTTCGTAGAAAAAAAATGAAACCTAAAATTATTTTCGGATTAAAAAATATGATGGAGAGAGAAATCAGAAAAATTCTCACTTTCGTAATACGCTAAATTGCATCTAAAATTTTCGAGAAAATAATACACAAGCCCTTGTAATTTCGAAAAGACTCAAGCACCCCTGAGATGACCGAGCAGATATAGAATGTATTTCTAGAGATATAAAAGCATTCTGGATTGCCTAAAAAGTGTTTTCAATGTATTTAGGAGGAAACCGTCTTTGGGTGCCCCTCGCGAAGAGCACTTAATTCCCGGTCCCTTTTTTCCGGTTAGATATCTATGTGGCATTTCATCACGTTCGTCAAGATCAATACCTCTACAAAATTTATCAAACCAAAGTAATACTTGTGTTCATGTAAGACATGTCAGTGATTGAGCTTATTTCAAGCAAGCGTAGGCACAGGATTAACGAGTAGCAGACGTCACGTTGAACGAAAGAAGTCCTGACTAATATAGTAGACGTAGGTTCAGAAGGTCTATACAACTTTAACGTCTCCACTTTGAGGACGACTAACTAGTCCTGCCTACCACTTCTCCTTGTTCTCCGCTCTCAGCTCATGCTTCACCTTCGCCTGTAACGTATCAAAATGGCGACTGCTTTAAAAGTACAATTATCACCTTTTCTCTTTGCGGGTCTCAGACAAGACTACTTCATTGAGATCCTGGGTATATACATTTATGTACAGCTGTGACAGTAGTTGTCACCTTAAACGACATGTTTGCTCTCAGTTTACAAGTTCTTTGTTTCCGTTGCACCTTCGCCATCTTTCGATCTGCTCTTATCAAATGCACCTGCAAATAGAAAAACTAATCATCACGGTTCCCTTTCGAAAGTATTCTCATTCTTTGCACGATTTATTTTAGACATCGATCAACATGCTTCTGTTGCTCGTTGCGCTAAATGTTTACCTATAATATGTCTAACACAGGTTTTTTTTTCAAAGTCAAACAAATAGCAAACCTTTACACTTTGAGGAAATTATTAATATGCTAAAAATTCAGGAAAGTTGTATTGGAATAGTCGACGTTTTTTTTTTTCATCAGGTACAACCTTAAGAAAAAGTTTGTTTGTCAGCCACTTACTTCTCTTCTCTATGAGTCAACTTGTTTTCGTATGCTCTTTGTAATCTCAACTATCGTTTTCTACATTTTTATTTTAGTTAGTTATTTTGGATCCGAGCATGCATGCTTTACGAAATATTCAATGAAAATCGGAAAATAAAATTCGGCCTTCTCTCCAGTTGCCTCATTTTCATGAACAGGGTTGGAAAAAACAATAAAACAAGACTCAGTATAACTCCCTTAAAAATATTTTTTTTGAAATAATGTGTTGTCACGAACATTCATTTCACATATTTTGACTAAAAACAGCTAGAAAAACCTAAAAATTATAAATATCAAATACAAACCTTTGAATGTTACATCATCTCCGATCAGCATGAAGGGTGCCCACTGCTCGACGTCAGAAAAGCGATTTTCTCTCATCGATTTCATGGCCTGGTAAAGAGATTCACTGGCACTTTCACCATGAACAAGGTGCTGGTAAAAACGATTCATAAACCACATAGTAGCTTCGTCCTCTACAGCCCACAGTGCCGCCAACACGGCGCGTGCACCCGATGCTAGAAATGCTCGAGCGATTCCAACAATTCCCTCAGCCCTTACCTGACCACGTGCACTATGACAGCAGCTAAGGACAACCAGCTTGGCTGTTAGTCGAACTTGTGAAATTTCAGCCATCGTCAATAAGTAGTCTTCTTCGTGTGGAGTTCCGCAGGAGCTTATAGGGGAAAGAGCTATTTCTCCACGTTCAGCATAACCATGAGCAGCGAAGTGAATGAGACTTACTGAATGCATGCTTTCCAGGACTGCCTGCTTATTTGCATTCCTTCCAAGCAACGGTTGAACACCGAGCAGTCGCCCAATCATCTCTGCTTCTTCTCTCGCCCAAGGCAGTGAGTTTAACTGCAGAAGGTTTCCTTGGTAATATACATCACTAACGTCTGGCTCTCCTACGATCAGTGCACCGGTTTTACTATGGTAGTCTTCTGGGCTGAGCTGAATCAACTTAAGAGTCGTCAAGGAAGGGACAATACGAATCCTGAAAGTATCCGATAAATACTTTCCATTATCATCCATTAAAGCAGTAAAAGGAATTGGATACAACAAGTTATCCGGTACAATAATGATTTCTGATTCTTGGAGTAAGTCAGCTACAGGAGCGACTATCATGTTGTAACCATCAGTGAGGGTTAAAAGTTTAGAGTCGCGAATTTCGTCTTCCTCTTCTTCTATAAGACGCAACGATTCGAAGCTGTCACCCTGAGATGGTTTGCATGATGGCGGGGAGTTTACACATGAAAATAATGATCGATCTTCGCATTGGCCTCGACGTAAATCGAGAAAGACGCCAGATTTATCATTTTTAAACACTTCATCTGCACTTTCTTTGAGTCTCGTTTGTCGAAAAACTATAATTTTGTTTGGCTTGACGATCCAAAAGTACATCCTATCACCGAAGCAGGAAACATAAAGACAAGAACTAAGTGCATTTTTGTTCATGATGTTCTCAATACCAATCCATGATGGTGGGTTAAATGATATCCCTTTTTCCACAGAGTACGTATCTGAGAGTACGTCGGTCAGTGCTCTGGACCGTCCAAGCTCGGCAACGTAAAGAGCTTCATAATAACTGCCTGTAACAAGCAGCAACCTACAAAGAAGAAGGTATGGGGACACATGCTCATCAAAAAAAGAAATTTTGAATTGATCTTTGACTCTTAAAAAATCATGCATTTCTTCGCACTTCTGAATGCTTTGATACAGATTTCGCACAAGTTCAGTTATGCTTCTTCCTGCCACTAACGCGTTCAGAGCAATTGTAAGGTGGCTTTTAAACTGCATTTCAATGTCTCCTATTTCATAGCTTATCTCAAGTGCTTTATAAGCAAATTCTTGACTTTTTGCATCAAGCTGAAATTCTCGACATAGTATTCCCAGATATAAGTATGAAGCTCCAACACCAGCTTTGTCTCCGATTTCTTCTTTGATCGTGAGTGCTTTTTGAAGGTATTCTTCGGCCTTGGTATATTGACCAACAGAACGGCACACATTTCCTAGATTTAAGCAAACAGTTGATTCTCCACGTTTGTCACCGATTTCTTTCTTGATCCCTAGCGCTTTCTGAAGGTATTCTTCAGCTTTGGCATATTGACCAACAGATTGAAACTTATTTCCTAGATTTCCGTAATCTACTGCTTCTCCTTCTTTGTCACCAATTTCTTTCCTGATCACTAGTGCTTTTTGAAGGTATTCTTCAGCCTTGGTATATTGACCAACATCAAGAAACACAGTTCCTAGATTTCCGTAAGCAGATGCTTCTTTTTTTTTGGCACCAATTTCTTGGCTGATCACTAGTGCTCTTTGAAGGTACTCTTCAGCCTTGGTATATTGACCAACATATTGAAAAAAAGTTCCTAGATTTCCATAGTTTGATACTTCTCCTTCTTTGTCACCGATTTCTTCGCTGATCACTAGTGCTTTTTGAAGGTATTCTTTAGCCTTAGTATATTGACCGACACAAAGAAACACAATTCCTAGATTTCCGTAAGCAGAGGTTTCTCCTTTTTTGTCACCGATTTTTTTCTGAATTACTAGTGCTTTCTCAAAGTGTTCTTCTGCCTTGGTATATTGACCAACAGATTGAAACACAGTTCCTAGATTTCCGTAATTTGATGCTTCTCCTTTTCTGTCACCGATTTCTTCGCTGATCACTAGTGCTTTGTGAAGGTATTCTTCAGCCTTGGAATATTGACCAACAGAAAGAAACACACTTCCCAGATTTCCATAATCTGCTGCTTCTCCCTTTTTGTCACCGATTTCTTTCTTCATCACTAGTGCTTTCTGAAGGTATTCTTCTGCCTTGTTATATTGTCCGACGGATCGGAACACATTTCCTAGATTTCCGTAATCTGATGCTTCTCCTTCTTTGTCACCGATTTCTTTCCTGATCACTAGTGCTTTCTGAAGGTATTCTTCTGCCCTGGTATATTGACCAACAGACAGAAGCACAGTTCCTAGATTTCCGTAATCTGTTGCTTCTCCTTTTTTGTCACCGATTTCTTGCTTTATCACTAGTGCTTTCTGAAGGTATTCTTCAGCCTTGGTATATTGACCAACAGATGAGAACACAGATCCTAGATTTCCGTAATTTGATGCTTCTCCTCCTTTGTCACCGATTTCTTTGCTAATCACTAGTGCTTTCTGAATGTATTCTTCAGCCTTGGTATATTGACCAACAGATCGAAATACAGTTCCTAGATTTCCGTAGGCAGATCCTTCTGTTTTTTTATCACCGATTTCTTTGCTGATCACCAGTGCTTTTTGAAGGTACTCTTTAGCCTTGGTATATTGACTAACAAGTAGAAATACAGTTCCTAGATTTCCGTAATTTGATGCTTCTTCTTCTTTGTCACCGATTTCTTTGCTGATCACCAGTGCTTTTTGAAGGTATTCTTCAGCCTTGGTATATTGACCAAAAGATCGAGACACAGTTCCTAAATTTCCGTAAGCAGATGCTTCTCCCTTTTGGTCACCGATTTGTTTGCTAATCACCAGTCCTTTTTGAAGGTATTCTTCAGCCTTGGTATATTGACCAACAGAAAGAAACACAGTTCCTAGATTTCCGTAAGCTGCTGCTTCTGTTTCTTTGTCTCCAATTTCTTTGCTGATCACTAGTGCTTTTTGAAGGTATTCTTCAGCCTTGGTATATTGACCAACAGATCGAAACACGGTTCCTAGATTTCCGTAATTTGATGCTTCTCCTTGTTTGTCACCGATTTCTTTCCTGATTACCAGTGCTTTTTGAAGGTATTCTTCAGCCTTAGGATATTGACCAAAAGAAAGAAACACAGTTCCGAGATTTCCGTAAGCTGCTGCTTCTCCGTTTCTGTCATTGATTTCTTTGCTGATCACTAGTGCTTTTTGAAGGTATTCTTCAGCCTTGGTATATTGACCAACAGATCGAAACACAGTTCCTAGATTTCCGTAAGCAGATAATTCTGCTTTTTTGTCAAGGATTTCTTCCCTGATTACTAGTGCGTTTTGAAGGTATTCGTCAGCCTTGGTACATTGACCAACAGAAACAAACACAGTAGCTAGATTTTCGTAATATGATGCTTCTCCTTCTTTGTCACCGATTGTTTTGCTGATCACTAGTGCTTTTTGAAGGTATTCTTGAGCCTTGGTATATTGACCAAGAGATCGAAACACAGTACCTAGACTTCCGGAAGCAAATGCTTCTCCGTTTTTGTCATCGATTTCTTTGCTGATCACTAGTGCTTTCTCAAGGTATTCTTCTGCCTTGGTATATTGACCAACAGATCGAAACACAGTACCTAGACTTCCGTAAGCGGATGCCTCTTCCTTTTTGTCACCGATTTCTTTGCTGATCACCTGTGCTTTTTGAAGGCATTCTTCAGCCTTGGAATATTGACCAACAGAAAGAAACACACTTCCTAGATTTCCATAATCTGCTGCTTCTCCCTTTTTGTCACCGATTTCTTTCTTCATCACTAGTGCTTTCTGAAGGTATTCTTGTGCCTTGGTATATTGACCGACGGATCGAAACACAGTTCCTAGATTTCCGTAATCTGATGCTTCTCCTTCTTTGTCACCGATTTCTTTCCTGATCACTAGTGCTTTCTGAAGGTATTCTTCAGCCTTGATATATTGACTAACAGATGAGAACACAGCTCCTAGATTTTCGTAAGCAGCTGCTTCTCCTTCTTTGTCACCGATTTCTTTCCTGATCTTTAGTGCTTTCTGAAGGAATTCTTCAGCCTTGGTATATTGACCAACAGATTTAAATACAGTTCCTAGATTTCCGTAAGCAGATGCTTCTTCTTTTTTGTCACCGATTTCTTTGCTGATTACTATCGCTTTTTGAAGGTATTCTTCAGCCTTGGTATATTGACCAACAGGGAGAAACACAGTTCCTAGATTTCTGTAAGCGGATGCTTGTTCTTTTTTGTCACCGATTTCTTTGCTGGTGACTAGTGCTTTCTGAAGGTATTCTTCAGCCTTGGTATATTGACCAACAGCTAAGAACACAGCTCCTAAATTTCCGTAATCTGTTGCTTCTCCTTTTTTGTCACCGATTTCTTGCCTTATTACTAGTGCTTTCTGAAGGTATTCTTCAGCCTTAGTATATTGACCAACAGATGAGAACACAGATCCTAGATTTCCGTAATTTGATGCTTCTCCTTCTTTGTCACCGATTTCTTTCCTGATTACTAGTGCTTTTTGAAGGTATTCTTCAGCCGCGGTATATTGACCAACAGATCGAAACACAGTTCCCAGATTTCCGTAAAAAGATGCTTCTCCTTTTTTGTCACCGATTTCTTTGCTTATTACTAGTGCTTTCTGAAGGTATTCTTTAGCCTTGGTATATTTACCAACAGATGAGAACACAGCTCCTAGATTTCCGTAATTTGATGCTTCTCCTTCTTTGTCACCGATTTCTTTCCTGATTACGAGTGCTTTTTGAAGGTATTCTTCAGCCTCGGTATATTGACCAACAGAAAGAAACACAGTTCCTAGATTTCCGTAAACAGATGCTTCTCCCTTTTTGTCACCGATTTTTTTGCTGATCACTAGTGCTTTCTGAAGGTATTCTTTAGCCTTGGCATATTGACCAACAGATAAGAACACAGTTCCTAGATTTCCGTAATTTGATGCTTCTCCTTCTTTGTCACCGATTTCTTTTCTGATCACTAGTGCTTTTTGAAGGTATTCTTCAGCCTCGCTATATTGACCAACAGAAAGAAACACAGTTCCTAGATTTCCGTAAGCAGATGCTTCTCCCTTTTTGTCACCGGTTTCTTTGCTAATCAGTAGTGCTTTTTGAAGGTAATTTTTAGCCTTGGTATATTGGCCAACAGATTTAAACGCAGTTCCTAGTTTTCCGTAAACAGTTGCTTCTCCCTTTTTGTCACCGATTTCTTTCTTGATGACTAGTGCTTTTTGAAGGTATTCTTTAGCCTTGGTATATTGACCAACAGAAAGAAACACAGTTCCTAGATTTCCGTAAGCTGCTGCTTCTGTTTTTTTGTCACCGATTTCTTTGCTGATCACTAGTGATTTTTGAAGGTATTCTTTAGCCTTGGTATATTGGCTGACAGATATAAACACAGTTCCTAGATTTCCGTAACATACTCCAATTTCGCGATTATTTCCAGTCTCAATCATGATGCTGAGTGCCTCTTCGCAAAACTGTTTTGTTTCCTCGTATTTGCTTTGTTGATAGTAGATGTTTGCTAGTTTAAGTAATACCATCCCTCGTTGTTCTTTTTGGCAACTATTGTGTATTGTCTCGAGAAGCTTTTTACCACATTCTATCGCACGGGTGTGATCGAACATAAGAGTATACCCATCAATAAGTTTATAGTATACATAGATAACAAGTGGTGTGGTAAGTTCCTTGACTGTTTCTAGGACTTTACCATTAAGGAGCACCAAACATTCGTTAAAGATTTCTACTGCTTTTATAATACGTCCAGTGTTAAAAAGGTACGCTGCAACGGTTGAACCAATATTATATCGTATAATGGTCTGTAGAAACTCCGAGATGTTGTCCATGATGCTTTTGTTAACCTTGAAAAAGTGGAAACAAGATTCTTAACGTCTTATAAACTGAACAGTTAAATTTCAAAGGGGAAGATAATCAACCTTTCATCTAATATTTACTCGGAGGTGAGTTATGGTTATAAGTGTTGGACTATCATTTCTTTTTCCTATTCTATACTTGTTGAATCTGCAATTTAATGCAGAATATCTAAATAAATAGTTTTACAGAGTAGTTTGTAACCTACTGTTTACCATCATACAGTGCACTGTTAAAAATTCTGGAAAATAAAACTATTTCAGTCACAAGCTTTTACAACAACAACGCGCTTTATTTGCATGACCATATATAAGTACTTGTTATATACACAGACTTTCACTCAACTATTAACAGGGACAGCCATGGCTGATTCTTGGTCACATGGCCTTGACTAAAATCAAATGTATCCCTATCGTGATACATTATAGAGCGAGATCAAAGCATAGTGGAAAGTGGCGTGACAGAAGGCGGGAAAAACACTGCTAGTTTTCTTTTTCGTGAATGAATGCAACAACACAAACTTGAAGCCTTACGCTAATTTTTTTTTTAAATTGTTTGATTTCATAGCCAAAAACGTTGATCTTGATAGTATTTATCCACTCAAGTTTGCTGTAATCTTTTACACCAACAGGGAACTCAATGCCCTCATAATCCCTCATAACGTACTGTCATATACTATACTACTCTAATATTTGCCATTACATCTTATATAGTGCTTTATAGTTTTTGCCAGCTCCTTAATTTTTTAGTATTGAACTTTTTCTCGCTTTTTATCCTGAAGGAAATTTATTCTAGCAAAGAATAAATGATTTCATGCAGCTAGTTACGGGAGTTAATATGTTACTTAATGAAGGGTCAGATTACATACGGGACCTTGATTAGTGGATATTTAAGTCCGTCCAGGCCTGGTTGTAGGCCTCTTTTACCCTAGCTTCAACACAAAAAGGTTTTCTTGAGGTTCTTCTCATGACAAGTCAGTCTGGGAGGAAACGTCAGCCAGGGAGGCTGAGAAAACGTTAAATAAGGCTTAGTCCGTTTTAGACAAATGTAGCTCCCAGTGGGCGGTTCAAAAGTTCAGTGTTAATCGTTGTTTTCGGTTGACGATACAGCTCTCGGCGCTTCCTAACCACGTGCTCGTTTGCATGGCCGCTCGCTCTGTGTATCGCATAGGCGAATCCGTTGAACCTAGTCAGCTCGAAGGGTTTGATCTTCGCAACGTTCACCTAGTTATTGTGGACAACGAAAGTTTTGGCAAGGGAGGTCGAACGATAGACAAACCATTCGCTTCGATCCCGCTTGGATTGCGACCACCGCCCACCCATTTTTGTGTTAGTTTCCATGAGGTGTGCGAGCACAGTTCAAACTCTGAATCATTAACATTGTTACTGGTCGCCCTCACCGAAATATTGCTCAACCAATGTAAACGACAATCTCTCGTTGTAAGTCAGATCCTTCCATGTTATTTAGCGGGAGCGCGAAATTTCACAACACCTTCGGCCCCAGCTCGATTTTGGGTGCGTGTGGATTAAAAGTCACTCTTGCCTTTTATTGCTTGACCTCTGGGTTTTAGCAAAAAAATGTTAACGTGTTAATCTAGTATGGGTGCGTGTGGATTAAAGTCACCCTTGTCTCCTTTGCTCCTCAATAGGGGTCACGGAAAACTGCGGCAGGAGCCAAGCTCCTGGCCGTTCATGACCAGGTTCCGCGAGAGTATTATTTCTTTTAGCTACCGATCTGTTTTGCATGGTTATTCTTTGTTGACCATGGGAAAAAAATATGTATCTCAATCATATCGCTTCCCTTAACTACCCCACCAGTGGCACTTCTAGTTGATTTCTCACTAGCTTGGTACCACATTAAGTGTAGGTTGTGTCATTTTTGATGCAGCATGCCTCCTAAGGAGTCTGCCAGAAATTTCGAGGACAGGGTGGCGAAACGGAGAAGAACAAATGCGGGTGCAACTCCGCGACCATCTGGAGTGCAGTCCACCGAGCAATGGAATTCCTCCTATTACAGGCGTAGTGGCCCAGCTGACCCCTGAGCTGATCTCCGCTATCACCACCGCAGTGACGCAAGCCCTACAAACAGCAGCTTCAACAGCGTAGGTTGCGTCCACATCATCTACTGCCCTCAGGTACAGTTTGTTCCAGATCCTGTAGAGCCTTCGAGGAGAAACACTCAAGTGTTGAAAACCTGCTGGAGATCCTAGAAATCAGCACTGTCCAGCAAACTGTGGATAGGGTGATGGAAAGTGTGGTAGGCCCGCACGACACAACAGGATACCAAAGTGGGAACACGTTTATGTCAGTGGCGATACTGCTCTCTAACCAAGTGCCAGAGAAGGTTAAAAAGTAGATCTGGGCAAATGAATTTGTTGACTTTGCATTGCTACTGCCCAGTAGTCCTAATGATACAGGTCGAGGACCGGAAGTCCTCATCATAAAACTTTCAGTTAGCCCCTGATGTAGCCAATTCCCTAATGACCGTGGCATATTTCATTAGAGAGGGGGTGTCCCCGGGTGACCGGGTGGCATAAGTAGCTAAATATGTCTGAAATGCCGACATCCACTGATCGATATTACTTACCATTTGCTTCTTACTACTCGGGGCAAGCATCATACAGATGGTGGCCCAACGTCTTTATTTTACTTTGCGTTATTTTTCTCACTTATACATTGTCCGTGACTGTGCTCACATGGAGGGTGGCTCCTCCTAAATTGGTATAGGATTTAATGGAGCCGAAACCAATTGTGGAATTGCACGCACTTTAGGCATCCTACTGATGAACAGTGGCGACACGTAGATATATATTTTTTAGCAACTAAGATAATTTGCAGTCTGTCTACTTTGAATACACTTAAGGTAGAAACTACTAAAGGAGGGCCACCATCTGTATGGTGCTTGCCCCGAGTAGTAAGAAGCAAATGCTAAGTAATATCGATCAGTGGATGTCTGCATTTTAGACATATTTAGCTCCTTTTGCCACTCGATCACCCGGGGACACCCCCGCTCTAATGAAATATGCCACGGTCATTAGGGAATTGGCTACATCAGGGGCTAACTGAAAGTTTTATGATGAGAACTTCCGTAAACTAAGGGAATCTCAGGGTGCTCCATGGGATCAAATTCATTCAGAGCTGTGGCTAAGGTCCCAGTCCTTTCGGACCACCACAGGGAGCCAGCCTAAGAGAGCTAAACATGAAGGCCCCTACATTCCCAAAGGGTTTTGCTGGAGGTTCCACAGGGATGTCTATTGTTCAGGATGCTCCTATAAACACCAGTGCTTCCACTGTGGAGAGTCCCATCCTGTCACCAGATGCCAGCAACCAAGACCATCCCCGGGCCATGGGAAAAAACCTGCTGCTTCCAACAACAGAAGCGCTCCCAACACCAGTTCGAGTTAAGAGGCTGTTATTTTATTTAGAGGGCTATGATGCCCATTGTTATAAAGAATTATTATCAGGTTTTGTTCAAGGTTTTCGTCTCCATTTTCAAGGTGCACAACTTGATCAATTTTCGGACAATCTACCTTCAGCATTCCAACACGACAATATGAGTTGAGAAGCGAGATTTGCGAAGGGCGTATTCGAGGCCCTTTGAACACCCCCCATTTGTTAATTTGAAGGTTTTCCCCTTAAGGGTTATTCCTAAAAAACAGCCAGGTGAATATAGAATGATCTATCACCTTTCTTACCCGTACGGAGGCTCAGTTAACGACGATCGATATCCCGCCAGATTTTTGTTCTGTACATTATGCAACGGTTAACGACGCAGTTGAAATGATAATGAAAATAGCACCGGGCTGTGCTAAGACTGACGTTCAGAGTGCTTTCCGTATAATTCCAGTGCACCCCAGGGATTACTGCCTAATAAGTATGCATTGGAAGGGCAGATATGATGTTGATTGCTGCTTACCAATGGGGTTAGCTAGTTCTTGTCAGCACGGGTATGGAAGGGGTGGCTTGTAACAAACTAAACATCCCTCACAAAATTCACATTCTGGATGATTTTTTAATTGCCGCGAAGTCCTTGGACACATGCCAAATTAACCCACAACGATTCCTAGCATTTTGTGAAGATGTGGGAGTGCCTATTGCACCAGAAAAACTGAGGGCCCCTTCAAGATTTTGGCATTCGCTGGCATAGAGTTAGACTGTGTTAAGCACGAAGCTAGGCTTTCCAGGGAAAAAGTTGCAAAAAGTTTATCAGCAATCCGCAACCTACTCAGTAGGAAAAAAGTTACATTCAAAGAGCTCCAATCTCTGCTAGGACAATTGAACTTTGCCTGCTTTGTAGTAGTACCGGGCAGATGCCGCAAAATCTAAGGGTTATGGTCCTATTTTTGGCAAGCAGTGGGCTTATGGTAAATGGCCGGAATCATAGACAGGCCTTCATATTGGCTTTCTTGTAATTTTTTCCCATTGTCCTAGGGCTAAGCATTCGGTGTAACGAGTTAAGAGACTAGCGTGTGACATTTATAATTTACGTGATCAACAAACAAACCTCGAAAGATCCTAGATTGCTAAGCCTGCTTCGCACCCTAGTAGTCGTATGTTTGAAAAACAACATCTTGTTTAGGGCTCTTCATGTAGAAGGTGCTCGGAACAGTAGCTGATAGTCTATCTCGTTTGCAGGTAGAGAGCCAACCCCACTACCTGAGCATCTGACCCTTTTTATTGCTTTCCGAGCAGAACAAAAATATGCTCCTTCTACAGTCTTAACATTTCAACATTAGGCTTCCCCCATCGATTGTGAGCACTACCTGACCTCACACACGTTTACATGATTCAGCTGGCATTACGGGGCTATAGTAAACGTAATCCTTCCAGGGACTCCCGTCTGCCATTTGTTTACCAAGCCTTGAAAACATCATTTCCGCGAGCGTTCATACACAGTCATCACCGTACAACAGACGATTGATGCAAGGGATGTTTGCTATTGCTTTTTTTGCAGCATTAAGGATTAGCGAGCTCAAATGTAACACAAAGCAACTTCAGCAAAACAATTTTTCTAAACCAGGTTGCTTTCGTTAAAACGCGAGAAGGTAGCATTACTGCTATTAAGCTTACATTAACGGCATTACAAACACAACAATCCCGCAGAACCGGTAGAGATTTTTATCACCATGCACAAACAGTTTTCCCTGTTTCTCTTTTGCTTGCTTATTTAAATCTAAGGGGTTCGTCTCGCGGTCCAATGTTCTGCTGGGCGGATCTTTCTTCAGTTTCACGGAATTTTCTCACAAAGGCCTCAGCTGATTCCCTTCGTGTCTGTGATTTGGATGTTTCAGGATACAAATCGCATAGTTTTAGAATTGGAGCAGCATCATGGGCGGCGTCTCGGGGCATGTGGGATGCACAAATTAGGACCTTCGGAAGATGGAAATCAAATGCCTTTCTCCGGTACATCCGAGCACCTTCTATAGGGTCTAAGTCATAGCTGTTTACCATATGCGTTCAATTGCTACCACAGTGCAGAGCTTTTAATTAAGCAGAGGCCAAGGGAATTTGTACAGTGGTACCTTGCACAAGGGAATTAATACCTAGGGAGCACAGCATTAGATAATCTTGATTGCATGTTTATTGGAAGGATAGCACTGAACTGTTGACCAGGGGCCAATTGTCTCAGTGTTATTACTCATACGATGAGACTAAGTTCTTTGAACAGGGCTACAGTGGTGTTGAGCAGGGGCCAATTCACCTTAGCTCTGGGTAGATCATGAGTTATGATAAGCAACACAATGTTAATGACCTTGATTGGCTGTTTATAGGAGGGATAGCACTGAACTGTTGAGCAAGGGCCAATCGTCTCAGTGTTATTGCTCACATTATGAGGCTAAGTTCTTGGAATTCTTGGCCACTTGGTTGTCTTTTTCATTGTTCTTGTCAGGCGCATTGGCATGGCTTCGGGTGGGGCGGCCCTGGCTTAGTTTTCTCGCGCAGGGCTTTGGCGGGTGTGCCCTCACCTTGGCTGGTAATAAATCAATGTCTCTAGATTTCATATAATTTGGATTAATTGTTATCAAATAAACGGCCACAGTTGTGGCCAAAATATGGCAAAATATTACTTCACCTTTTATGCGGTTTCCAGCAAAGAGAGCTCAGCCCTGGCAATGCACTTCTTAGTTAGGGTTAAGTAGACAAGAAGCATAAATGGAACTTATAAATGTAGAGCAACATTGGATTTGACGTATAAAAATAGTCTAGTATACAGCCAAACTGATTTCTAGACATATCCTATATTTCAAATGTTGATATTTCTTCATTAAAATGTGTCTTGAGTGAAATATCAGCATCTTGTTTCAAAACAGACCATGTCACAATCTGTTTTTTTAACCTTCAGCCATATAGTGTTTACATTAATATAGAGATATACAGAGAAAATAAAACAAGAGACTAAAAAGAAGTTTTGTCCAAGAGCTTAGACACTTATTATCAAGGATTCTTTAGCAAAAGTGTATAATTTTGAGGTGCTTAATTGCCACATGCCCTTCCACAATGATCGGTTGCTAGGGCTTTTCCGCTCGCAACTTCTTGAATTCAATTTTTGGCTTACAGAGTAGTAGTTATATTGCAGATGAAGCAAGACATTAGACCATCTTAATTAGACAAAATTTTTCTTTAAATTGTTACCATTGTAAAGGTATTTCTGACGTTTTTTGAAAGAATGACGTCATAAGTGCACCTATTTTTAGTGACAACATTAAAAACTTGAAAAGTAGTGTTCAAAACGTTACAGACATTTTTGCTATACAAAAAGAATATTTATAGTGAAAACCCCATCTCAATCGGATAAAAATGGCGTAAAGTTACAGTTTATTAAAGTGAATCAAATGTACCGCCAAATGACAATATATGGTCAAAATGAGGGGTATTTTAAACCCGAGAAAACTGAATGTATTGCCACAGGAACATGGACAAAGTTCCATAAAATCAAAATTGTAGTTTTTTTTTTACTTAGTGCATGTGGTGCTATGACGCGTATTCGTCACGAAATACGTCATTGCGACGTCATAGCACCACATGGAAATAAAAACCGATTAACAGGTAATTTATCAACCTACTTCCCTGCCAAGTTTCGTCACATTCGATGCATTCTACTTCTGTCTATGGCCTAAAACTCTCAATTTTGAGAGGTACCGGAGGAAAAGCCCTAGCAACCGACCACCTTGTTTTTAAAATTAAGTAATGTGATGAAGCATAATTCATACTAAGCAAAAATGTTACAGACTGTAATTCAAATAATCATGATATGGCTTCTCTTAATTTTCTTATTTTTATTTCAAATTAAAATTTTTAAGACTCGTAAACACCTGTTCCCTGAATAGGAAGAACAGAAGTTTTATACAGCTGTTACATCTCATGAGGAATACCTAAATTGAAACCAATCATTGAAAATTCATACAGAAAGTATTTCTTTCTTCAGCCAATATAAGTTTTTACTGTATCATTAACTGAATCAACAGGCTATTGCAGAGCTAAAGCTTTTATTCGCAATAATAATGCCGCAGATCGGCTAACAGCTTCCTGATTCGCTATTGAAAAACAAGAAAATGGAAGAAATGTGCGTGATCCCGAAGTCTGCAGTGGTTTTTCCCTTCGCGGCCATCAAGTTGTGGAATTATTAAAATGTCCTGGCTGAGGCTTTAATGGGGGCCGTGAAGCCTGGGAGACAGCTCTCTTACTGCATTAACGAGCCAGTATCTGGCCTGGGATCGCTACTGTACATATGTTGTTCAAACTCCGAGTGTGGAGAGAGGAATATTTCCGGAACAAATAAGACCTACCAGAACCACTCGAGGGAGACCAATCTTTGATGTAAACACGAAGCTTGCTGCTGAATTCACATTTCGCTTTGTATAGAAACCAAACAAGTGAACATATGAAGAATAGGAATCAATAGTCTTCTCTTCAAGTTTCTTTATTGCGCCAAAGCAAAAAAATCGAACCCTAGCTCACTGGCATTAAACAGAACGCTGGCGCTACAAAATAGTCCAAAATAAAGATTCATAACTCCAAAATCTCATCAACTCTTGACTTACCTCATTCCTTGGTATTTCTCACGTATAAATTTCTATGTTGGCGATATCAAACACGTAAAAACAACCGAAAACAAGCTTTTCGAGTGCATACTTCGAACACGATGGGCGCTACTAGTTTTGTATCTCGCCCCAGTCCCCGCCGCGCAAATTATCCACCCCGACTGCGATCTCAAAACCATGTCCACCTTTCACACCTTTTTTTGAGGAAACAAGCACGGTGACCCCCCAATTTTTTTCCCAGGTATTTGCTAAGAACAGTCTAATAAAGAACAGATTTGAAGAAGAAAAAAAGTTTGATAGTAGAACATTTTTTTTTCGGAAAATAGTTCCGTACTTGGTGTATTTGGGTCAAGGCGAGGACTTCAAGCCAACCACGGAACTGTCCCAAAAAGTGCAATATCCCCACAACCAGGCAATCATACACTGATTA